CTTTTAAGGTGAAAACCGAAATTCTGGATCACTGAAAGCTATTTTATTCAGAAAATTTCTTTGTGTTGGCAACATTTCTTTCGAGCAACCTTATCGGGGCTTTGTTTAATCTATACGTGTGTAGGGTGTGGTGTGGATACATTGAAATCGTTTAAGCACAGAAATACTTAAACGATTTCATTGTATCCATACCATCATCTTTCTTATACATATAAGCTATCTATGTAAAAACTAGCGGCCGCCCGCGACTTCGTACGCGTGAATCCCGTTTTTCCCGCTAATTCCCGTTCCCGTGGGAATTGCGGGAATTCCTTTCTTAGTGCACCTCTACGGTACCTAAGCTACGTCCCTTCCAAATTTCAAGTGCCTACGTTTAGCCGTTTAGGCTGTGCGTTGATCTGTCAGTCAGTCAGTCAGTTTCTCCTTTTATACAGTGTGTCCGGGCATGTAGTGATCAAACTTTAAGGGCGTAATCTAAAGACAATTTTATCGACGAAAATACTTCAAATTTGGGGCTTGACCCATTTATCGCAAAATCACAAGGATTTAAGTTTTTAATTTTTAGTTTTCACCTCTTCCTTCAAAAACAAGTGAAAGCGTGGCTAGCTTAACATTAAAAAGCAAATATTTTATATCATGCGAAAGCCAATAAAATTATGTATTAGTAGAAGTAGAAAACAGACACAAGTTTCATACATTTTATGGGAGTAAGAATGGATTTAATTAGAAAAATACATGACTTTTTTCACTTCCTTTTCAGTTATTTTCCAACACAAGAAAAACCAGGTCGTTAAAGTATGTTTTATTTGCATTGTATTCTTAGTGTTTGAGCTATTCTACAAAACGAATGTAATTTTATTAGTCTACGTCTATTAGTTTCGACGCAATTGTTGAACAAAGATACCCCTTCCCAGCCGGCTCCATAGCGCTGCTAACATGCGAAAATGCACTGCCTGAAAGAATCACACAACCTATTCCGACGCACTATGGAAGCGGCTGGGAAGGGGTATCTTTGTTTAACAATTACGTCGAAACTAATAGACGTAGACTAATAAATTTACACTCGTTTTGTAGAATAGCTCAAATACTAAAAATACAATGCAAAAAAAACATACTTTAACGACCTGGTTTTTCTTGTATTGGAAAATAACTGAAAAAGAAGTGAAAAAAGTTATGTATTTTTCTAATTCAATCCATTCTTACTTCCATAAAATGTATGAAACTTGTGTCTATTTTCTACTTCTACTAATACATATTTTTATTGGCTATCGCATGATATAAAATATTTGCTCATTAATGTTAAGCTACCCACGCTTTCGCTTGTTTTTGAAGGAAGAGGTGAAAACTAAAAATGAAAAACTTAAATCCTTGTAATTTTGCGATAAATTGGTCAAGCCCCAAATTTGAAGTACTTTTATCGATAAAATTGTCCCTAGATTTCGCCCTTAAAGTTTGATCACTACAAGCCCGGACACACTGTATATTTAGATATTATTGATTAAAAAAATTATAAGCTCCAGCATCGCCGACTGATGGAATAAATGGGTTCTTGAATGAAAACCACGTTTAGACAAACGTACTACCTATAGAATGTCCACCTATTTGATGAACTGACGATTTAAAAAAATAGGGTTGTAGAAAAAAATCAGGATAAAGGTAGTGCTTTCTCGCGAGCTTAAGAGGAGGGACTTTCGTCATATATGCTAGAGTCAATACGCAGATATGTTTATGACACGTTATGTAGTGCTATCTTTGACTACTTAGAAAAAAGTATTTTATTAATAAAGAAAAAAGGTTTGTGTAAATCTGTTTCAGAATGAAAAAAAAATTCTTAATGCAGTCTACTGTAGAGTGTTTAAGTAAATTTTTCCTAATCTATTCAGGAAAATCTATATCTTTCATTGATATATTTCATATCTTTCATTTTTAAAACCATAAGTCGGTGTTTTGGCTGTGTCTTTGTATATTATTATTACTTTTCTTCATCCAATAAAAATACTCGGCAATGTTGCTGTAGAAGCAAATTCACATTTAGTCGATGTTGCTAAGACTTTTTTTACCACATTCACGGTTTTAGTTTTAAATGTGCAAAGCGTCTCTATAGGTTTCCAAACTAACGTGTATTAGTTTTGCAAATAAATCTAGAATCCTGCAACTTTTATGTTTTTTCAGCTTCAAAGTTACAAAGGTGGGAAGCTAAACTATCTTTAGGCAATCAGGCAATACTTACCTGGAAAATTGGGAAAATTATGTTCTATTTCTACTTCTTATAAATGAAGTGCCGATCTTGTTATTATGTACCCTAAGCTATCGATCTTAAGCTCTATTTATATCTCATTGGTTTCGGTAAAACTCCCAGTTGTAATAGGGATGTTTCCTGGGTCAAAAAGCAAGAGTTTTAATTAATCCGTCAGTTAACTTATCAAAAAATACTCTACACGTATTTTTCACTTTTTCAAACTAATGAAAATTTAAAGACATAAAGCGCGCCAAAGTTCATAAGAAGAGGCCCGTGACGTCAATGAGTGCATAAAAGTGCCGCACTTTGTGACGTCGCGCTGAAATTCAACGCACCATAACTATGTAATTATTTGTTAGATTGACAAATAAAAATATATGAATCTAATATTTTTTGATATTAAACATGACGGACTAAAAAAATTTTTTAGGAAACTAGAACCGAACTTAGTTCAATAGCTAAGTTATTAGACTTTAGACCTATTAGACTTTTAGATATTCTTGCTTCAAAGAAATCAATTAATGTTAAGTACCTACAAAAGGTATCAAGTAGCCATGCCCAATCCTTAACTAAAGCACATCTTTGATAGTTGAAATAGGTGTTTTTCTTACAACAACAGCAATAGTCACAATAAATGCTCTGTGTGCTTACCATGAGTTTACGTTAGGTGTGCTCACTAGTGAATAGAGCACACCAAACGTAAACTCATGGTAAGCACACTGTTCAGTCAGCGTCATAATTAGACATCGGATTATATGCACTATCAAAATGCCAAAATATGCATGCAAATATGCACTAAAAAAGGGCGAAATATGCACAAAATATGCACAATCAAAAAAACATTATTAGAATTAACTTTATTTTCACAATACATAATTAATTAATTATATAGGTACTTATTGGTTGTAATTCTTGTGACAATATAAATATATTAATTCTTGTGACAATATAAATATAGTAAAAAATATTAATAGTGACAATTTAAAAATTATGTCATAAACTGCATTTAAACATGAATTTGATTTATTGTTTGTTAAAAAAAATGAATTTTAGCGAATGTTTTTCGATAATAAAACGCAAATCCAGGAAACGTTTTTATACGACCGGTCACTTTTCGGTCTTCATGGAATGGTCATTCATTTTCGCTCCGCAACCCCCCCCCCCCCCCCCCCCCGTATGAAGGTTACTTTTTCTTCAAAAAGGTTACATTTTTTTATATTTCTGGTCATTTCTGACAAGACCCGACTGGCAACACTGGTACGGATCGCTCGCAGTGCGTGCGAGGGCGATGTGTTGATGTTTGGCGTGGGGACGGCGCCGGCGAAGAACACGTCTAACACGTATAAATACTAAAATAAGCACTGTCAATGAAAAAGTACCAAAATATGCAATAACGCTATAAAAATAGCATTATATGCGTTTGCATATGCAATAATGCAAATGCATATAATCCGATGTCTAGTCATAATGTAATTCGTGACACCCAAAGTGGCCAAAAAGTCGAGTAAAAGTTGACAGCACGTGTTGCGAACTTTTTGGCTAATTTGGGTGTCACTAACATTTGACGCTGTACTCATAACGTCAGAATCCGTCTGTGTTGGACGCTAATATAAAGTAACAAAATTATGTATTAAGTAGGTATAATAAAGAATATTTTTCTCGTAAGCTAAAGCGCCTTGAGAGGCGATCAAAGCGTGTTCTTGTCATACACACAACTTTCGGATATTAGAAATGTCCGCATTCTCATTCTTATGGGAATAACATTCATATTACATTGGATTATGAAAGTACCTAATATAAGATAATTTCATTATTTTTCTTTGTGATCAAATGATAATCATTAAGGATGGCATAATATAAGATGGGTTTGAGTCGGTATACGTAGATGGACGGAAGAAGTAGGCTTTCAATTGTTTTAGAACACTTTTTAGGAAAATCATAACCCTTCTTCCGGCACAGTCAGGTAAAAATGTTGAAAAATGTTGAACACTTAAAAAAAACATGCTGTTGTAAAAAGCCTCTCCTTCCAGAAGTTTTAGGAACAATAAATAGCATACATTATAGCAATTTTAGTACGATTACCTATTAATGTTTTCAGGAGCTTTTTTGATGACTAACAATAGCAAGTATTGTTGTCATGTAGATAGACCTACGCTTCACCTTCTTAGGCTTAGAGGTGACACCTTTCCACGCTAAAAATGGCGTACAGTTGCTTTATGTAGGTACTTACACTAAAAGTATCTTTTTGTTGTCAATGGAAACGAACTAGTTAGTACTAATATCGTTCTTAATCTTATCACCGTTAGATAACATATCACTAGCAATATCCGTAGTAAATATGCACCCGGATCAGATGCAATAAACACGTAAAAAACAATAACACTCATAGATCCGTAAAAACAAATGATGACGTATACGTTTTACCTATAAAAAACAAATGAGCATCGCAAGCTGACTAAAGTACTATCGCCAGCCAGCATCTTGATTCATCATTCAAAAATAAAAACCCTGCAAAATTTTCATTTAGGTCACAATCAAATCCAGCAGCAAGACCTAAGACTAGGTGCAGACCACCGATTTTTAGTTGGCCGATAGTTGGGCCCGATTTTAATTTGTATGAAGAATCGGCCAAATCAAATCGGTGTAATGTGCGCACTTCCATACATGTCCATACTGATCAACCGCCGGACTAAACTATCGGCCGACGAAAAATCGATGGTCTGCGCCTAGGCTAAAATGAATCTTAAATCAAAGTACTCACGGTCGAAACTGCAGCTTGAACCACGCGGGGCGGTGGCGTAGCGGGGCGAGCGGCGCGGGCGCAGCGGGCCGTAGGGCGGAGAGCACACGCTTGACTATGCGCGCGCTCATGGCAAAGATGGCCACCATGGCCAACACGCATAGACCGCCGAAGACGGCCCATACTAGCTGTAAGGGAAAATAATAGTTAAAATACGTTGATAACTTTTTTAAATTACCACTTCACGGGATTTATTGCAACAATATCTTATTATCAATATCTTGTTGCAATAAATCCCGTGAAGTGATAATTTTATAGTAAAAATGCAACATAATAGTTTAAAACTTTTTAAAAGAAATAAAAGTGATCATGCTGGGATTAGCAGAAGTTTTTTCCCTTTTTTTTGGCGGGAGAGGCATTACATTGCACCCTGAGAGACACCCTGTATAAGGCTCTCCCTGTCATACGGACAGGGCCTACCAAGGGTCTACGTAAACCTCCCTAAAAAGCCCTACAAAGCACGACCTTCTTTTATTTTTATCTAGACAATGCCTTGCCAACAAGATTCTTGAGGTCGTAGGTCCATCGAACAGGGCGTCCTATAATACGTTTTCTGAGAAGTGTTCTCCAAAGGCGAACCTATTTACTTATCGTCAATTCTGAAAAAAAATCTATATTTATTCCATGAAAGTATATTTACTCCTATCACTCGGAGAGAATATATTGTGTTTTATGCAGTAAAATAATACAGGATGTCCCAAAAAGTAGTGTCAAGCCGAAGCCCAGAGGTAAAGCATCATTAGGTCTACCGGAATCACCGCAACTTTTAATAGTTTTTGAGTTATATTTTTTATAACAACATTATAGGATTTTGGTTTACATTCGTGTTATGGGTAAATACATCAGATAGGCCTAGTACTCATCTAATAATAATAAAATAATCAGACATAGACCTTATCTATTCGCGCCAAAGTGACCAAAAAAGTGCCTAATCACAGAAATTTATAACAATCATAACTCGAAACCTATCAAAAATCGCAGAACATACATGGGGGTGATTCGGATAGCCCTGTGATGCTTTACTTGTAGGCTTTGGCTTGACACTACTTTTTGGGAAACCCTGTATATTTTTCACCTATTCCTGGCTGTTTCAGAGCTCAAAGCTATTTATATCACTATTAATCAGCCTGTACACTTACAATAGTCGTATATTAGACAGGGAAGTCATTTATGATCCTTCAACTAATAATTTATCTTATTTGTTACCTCGTAATCCGATCTTCAGTAGGTAATTAGTGAATTTGATTTTCATTAAACAATCGCAGAAATACTTTTTAATTAAACATTCCCCAGAATTTAATCACGAAATTAATTAAATTAGCAAGTAATTAATTTTAATCATACCTTTCACATTAGATACAAAATCATGTATACGTTGTACATAATAACAATATAACCTGTATAAATAATAGCTTATGTGGAGTGTAACGTGTGAAGCATAAGTAGGTTGATACAAAATGAGTTTCAGCTACTTCATAATAAGGATGCGAAATATTTTTAAAGGTGCAATGAAATAGAAGTTGATTTAAAAATATTTCTGTCATTAGTTTGCTTTAATCTTAAGAAGGCATTTTATTTGTGAAGCCCTTTTCAGGGCCCGTACAAATCCAAGTACATATAACTAGTTTTCCCTAGCAAAACTATAAGAAACTGACACTTTTGTCAGCCTTTTGTTATAACAAGTTTAATACAATAGATTTTCAATAACTATCTGTTTTGTTTCTAGTGTTGAGTTGAGATAATGAAAGTCGATTTCACGAAGTGGAGAAATACATAATGTTTTAAAAAGTATTGGACTCCGTTAAAATATTGATTGTAAATAACACTGTACGATGACGTAACAATATAAAACAATGAAAATTTGATGTAGCCGCTGGCTTATCCCTTTGTTCATATTTCACATTATCAATTAAAAATATTTCCAAACCAATATTGTTTATTACCCACTACCTACTCACTATCGACACAAAAGTGCCCGTTAACTATAATAAATAATAAGAGTAATTCTAAGAAAATCCAAATACTTACGTAAGTACTGAACTGAATTTTGTGACCTTCCGACGGATCTGAAACAAAAATTAATTAGTCACGCTTATTTTAAGGCAGAGGGGAAGGAGGGGTGGCATGGAGGGCGGTTGCTAGCAAAAGACAGTAACAGAGGTATTTACAAGGTGTGGCTTAAAATATCAGTGGAATAGGCAATTCTCGTGACGGTAATTACTTGAAGATTGTTATTGGGCTTTAAAAATACATTGGAAAGAAATTGCGGTATTGTATGATTTTAATAAAATAGGCCATTAAGACACTGTTTTTACTATCATGTGTGAACTGCGAATAAGGTTTGTAATGAGAAAAAATAAAGGGTCAAAATAAAGGCCTTTTGATGTAGGGTGATAGGCTATCGACAATCCCGATAGCCACCCTAGTTTATCAGCTCTACAAAAACCGTGCTTACTTCATAACACCATTAATAAATTTTAGTGTATCTATCAATGTTGCACATAGGCATCAGGTTCTAGATATGAATGAGAGAAAAAAAGAGATCCAAAAATATGAAAACTTCTTTTAAGAGTAAGATGTAAAATAGTAAATTCTAAATGTAAAAAAGTAAACTCACCATAAGCCGTCGCGTTCCCCGCTGGTCCCACACACCCTCTATCATCCATAAGGTTGACACGTGCCAAAAGTTTGACGTCCAGCACTATACCCCCGTCTCCCCCTCTCCCCGCAGAGGCCCTTTCGAGCCCCTTCCCGTTAATGGGGAGGATGAGCCACCGTGGCCCGTCCCCGTCAGCCACTCGGCCATCGGCGTCCACTGGTTTGGTTATTGTGTTCGCGAACCACGGCGCTGGATGCGCGTCGGTCACCATTTGTTTGCCTATACTGGAATAAATGGACCTGTTAGATTGTTTATATAATAATGGCCAAAAGGCTTGATGGCAGTGCTGTAACTAGGTTCTTGTTTTTCGTAAGAATAAAGGATAATTCTGGAAATTAATGCTTGTCCGTCACTTGATGGTGATCACCAACGCCCAATAAAAAAGTTGGAGAAATTGTTAGCACATGAGAAGTTGCCAAAACTTTGCCTGTATTTTTTATTCTGTGCTTTCGTAAAGGCCTCAATGTCAACTGATGTTAGGTAAGTATGTTGAATGTTTTCAGCAACAAACCTCTACCGTTAAAGCAATAACCAGTGCCTTAGACATCATAAACAAAGCAAAGTCCAATAAGGAACACGTTATCGCCGTTTCTTTAGATATTAAAGCTGCTTTTGATCACGCTTGGTGGCCAGGTATTTTCAACAGATTGCGCTCCTTGAACTGTCCTAGAAATCTGTATTATTTACTTTTGAATTATATCTCTGATCGGAAAGTAACTTTAGGTTTCGGTGATTGCAGTGTCAGCAAAACTATGACAAGAGGCTGCATACAGGGTTCAGTATGCGGCCCCAGCCTATGGAATTTAATCCTAGATGAACTGTTATTTATGCCATTGCCTTCCGGATGTTACCTCCAAGCATATGCAGATGATGTTTTATTAATTGTTCACTCACATAACATTCAGCACCTAGAATCATCTACCAACTTAGCACTAAATAAAATTTTAGAATGGGGTGAGAGCGTTAAATTAGAATTTGGACCATCTAAAACACAAGTGATTGGATTTACTAACAAATCAGAATATTGTAAAATTAAAGTTCATGGACAAAATAATAATATAGCCTTTGTAGATCAAATTAAATATCTAGGGATTATTATCGATAAACGATTAAATTTCATTAAGCATTCTCAACACGCAATAGATAAAGTTAAAAAAATATTTTACAAAATTGTTACCTTTGTACGACCCACATGGGGAATTCATCCAGAAAATATCAAAATAATTTATAAACAAGTCATTGAACCCATTATTTCTTACGCAGCTAGTATCTGGTCTGGAGCACTCAAATATAAATGTGTTCGAAAACGCCTACTTTCTATACAACGGCTCTTTGCGATCAAAATTGTTCAAGGCTTTCGTACTATCAGTACTCCAATATCTATTAGTCTAGCTCAATTAATACCATTGACAGCTAAAATAACAGAAATAGCTAATACTGAAAGAACTAAAATTCTTGGTACCACAACAGTTATACCTGAAGATGTCTCTATAGAAACTCCTGCATCCACAATAGAACTTCTCCATCCATCTTTAAGACCCTCCATCAATTTTCAAGAAATTTCCTCCGCTGAAGATGTAGATAAATTAAATACTAAGGAATATTGGCAAATTTATACAGATNATTATGTCAAAGGATATTTAATTTTATTATTTGTTTATTCACTATTTGAAGATTACGGTTTAATCCAACTTACGGCTTGTTTTTACACTGTGGCGTCATCGCGTCGCGCGAATGTCAGCGCGAGTGTCAGTGCGAGGTGTGCGGGGGCTGAGGTAAACGAATGCACGGCATCGAGGCGGTAAATCCTAGCCTTAACTACAAACGAAAAAATCTTAAATTTTATTATCTGATTAAGGTCTTGGGGAAAAGCGCCTAATAGATTTGCCATATAACAATTTTATTTAGAAGAGATAAAATATTTAGGTAAAATATTTTCTCTACTGAAAAAGTATTTTATCAGACTTGTGAAATACTATACCCAAACTAAAACTCGTTAAATCTTGAAATTTAAACGGGAAAGTAAAACTTTTTTCATCCCATAGGCAACAAACCCGATATGCACATCATTTTGATGTGTTTTTATTCGGAAAAAAAATCGGGGAAAACTGGAACTGCCCGAAAAATTGCAGTAAAAACTCCTACACAGTAAAGCGAAGCCGACGCGTCTAAAAATTCAAATGTCACCTCTCATTACAAGTTGTTTTATACCGGCTGCACCCATTTGTGGCCGAGAATTACACCGAACTAAAAAAAAAACACATTCAATTGTGAGCTCTAACAAAAAAGTGGAAGGTTTCATTTCGATAGAACGTCCCACGAAATGTTTTTACTACCGCACCCCTATTTATTTCGTTAGCCGGCCGCTCTTTGTTGCTCAAATTCTTTAATGTTGGTTTTACACAATAACCACGTTTCTGCATATTTTTCGCGGATAAAGCCGAGAAATTCTGGTGAAGAAAAACACGGATGTATTCCGCAGTGAATGTGGTGTGTGGCGAGGCTTAGCGTGAGCGCGCCAATGATGATAAGTAACGAAATGTATTTAGGTCTCTCTCTCACTATCTCGCTCGTTGGTTTTTTAAATAATGTTTTACTTAAACAATATTTTAAATCAAATCACTATACCACCTATGTTGAATATTGTGTTGGTTTAGTCGTTAGCATTATTTTGAAAACCATCTCTTGAGATTTCGTACAGAATATTTTTCTTACTTAATCATAATTATTAATTAATGATTATGATTATTATGTTTCTTTTTCATTAAGTTTCTGTAATGAAAATTGATTTAAAGGCAGGCAGACACAATAATTTATGTGGTAAGATACATTATGAATTGATCATAGGGAAAAATATGAATACCTTACCAATAACATGAAATTGAATACCTACTTATCTTGATCGAATTTTTAGCATTGAATTTGTTTCTCATTTGGATTAATTTAACATTTTCCTTGTTGGTTTTAGAACTAAAATTATTTTAAAATTCATTTGATATGCGACGTAACAAACATGAATTTTTTTCACTGCTCCGCGTTACTCAAAATTGGAGCTCTGACACTAAATCGTTTTAGCGTGAATTAAGCTTTTAGTTTTTCAAACGAGAGCCACGACACGTGCAATGATAATTTTATGCAATTTATGTGCATAATGAAAACGTTCTGAAAGGAATATTGTCGGTGTTAAATTACATTTGTTTAACTCGTATGCTTTATGGAAAGATCGTTTTATGTTATGTTAAGTTTAACTTCATTTTGGCAGATGTGATCTTTACCTGCATAATAAGGTGCATGCTTTACTCGTATGTGTGCAAGTTTTACATTTTAGTTTTCTGTTTGTACTCATGTAGCCGTGTGGTGACGGCAGAGTAGAATACATTTGTCACCAACCCCTACTCTTCCCGCGGGTGTCGTAAGAGGCGACTTAGGGACTACACATCAAACAGAGAATGGGCAGCAGCGCTCTCTGAAAAACATCAATCTTTTAAACTGCGATCTCCAACCCGCCTGCCAAGCGTGGAGATTATGACAAAACCCTCCACTATAGTGGAGGAGGCTCATAGTCCAGCAGTGGACTGTAAAGGGCTGTTTGATGATGACTCATGTAGGAGTGTATATCACAGTTACGACAAACAAAGGTGGTACAAACGTAGTGGCGACAGTACGTTATGCCGACAATCAATGGTGCGACTGCACACTAGCTCGACGAACGTTAGCGCGACAGAACGATGGGGCGACAAACGACAGAACTTACTGGGAAGTTTGTTTTGATTGTGTTTGACTTACCTACCCGTTAATGTGCGAGCGTTTGCTCTTCTAACCCGTCTTGCCAACGAGGCGAGCGTAGACCAAATCCATCAATTACATTGGTATAGGTACAGAGCATTTACTGCTATTACAGTAAATTGGAGACTAAGACCCGATGATGATGAAAATTCTTCCGAAAAAATAACTCAAGTTGATAGATTTTTCCATAGTAATGATGGCTTCTCGTTAAATTACTTTACAATTCGACATTTGACTATGAATTCCAATGAGATTTCTAAAACTGTCCCTTAGTAAATGGCTAAATCTATCTTACTTAACAGGTTTGTACGTTTGTTTACAAGATGTAATACCCAGAACTACAAAATAGAAAGCTATAAATATACAAAACGTATGTCAAAGGCTTTCCTGTATGCTGGGAATTATGTATGCATTTCCCGAGGGAGGGGCGATATTTTTTCTGTGACAACTGGAATTTACGGGAGATAGGGCTGTTAACCTTTGAAGTTATTTACAAGGAAAAATTACTAAGGTTAGCCCTCAACTTTTATAATGTAGCCCACTTTTTCAAGTTTCTTGACACAATCCATTGACCTCAAATTGATAAAGTAAAAGTGAGAATAACGAGAGTAAGTTCCAAATTTTTAGGCTATAAAAATATTAAAATAGGGCTTCTATGATCAGTGCCTCGCAGCGATCTGCTCTACTGAGCCACTAAGTTCTTGGAAAATAAATGAATTTGTACTGTAAAAGAAATACCTATAGTCGCTGTTTAGTTTGGACGTTTAGATAGACAATAAACAGTTTATTTATTTTTTTAAATCTGTCAGACTAGTATTGAAATAATTGTTATTGCAACAATGCAAAATCCACGAATGCCTATGTCGAGACTGATCTTGTGCAGTTGAGAGCACATCAGTCTTTACATTTTTGTTACAAAGTATCATCAATGCATTACCTACCATTGCTTAGGCTGCTACAAATTTAGCTTGATGTCTGTCGTTTGTACATTTGATTGACTATATATGTTACTGTAAAAGCTCGAACTACGGTTAATCTTAAGATTTAAGTGTAAGTCTTAGGATTTACCGACATGAGTTGGTAAATGTAAGTATTTCTGAAAATATGACGATTTTTTCGAGCTTTTACCATTCGAATTCAATAATTGCTAGGTTTTACCTCTGTCAGCTGGTAGATGTTGGTTTTAGGAATAAAACAATGAGTAATTCTTAATTACTTACTTTCATCAACTATTAGACAAAACAGGTACATAGTATTATAAAGGTACCTATCATATGATAGTAATAAGTACAAACTAATACCAACTTGTTTAAATTATTTGCAATCATTTATTTTTCTTGTGTTTTGGTGTTCACATTTTTACTGTTTCCTTTTTTATTCCTTCTGACTCATTACCAACGATGTTGTTTTCGTAAAAGTTTACAGAACTTTTAATTAGTAAGATTATAACAAAAATGACGATGGTATGGACGAAATGTGAAGTGGAAAAAATCGGAATTATAATAACCCAGCATTGATAGTAGCGCATACCTGTAAATATCATATCTAGCCTATCTAGGACACTGAAATTTTTGTACTGCATGCATCCTTATAATATTATAAACGCGAAAGTTTGTGTGGATGTTTGTTACTCTTTCAAGCTACTAAACTGATTTTGATGAAACTTTACAGTATTATTGTTTATAACCCAGAATAACATATAGGCCATAATTTATGACGATCTGTGACAAATTAAATTTCACGCGGGTGAAGCCGCGGGCAAAAGCTAGTATTTTATATGACATGATCTTACGTTGCTAAAGAAAAAACAAGGCAGTGACATCATGGTTTGTTTAATTGTATTAAAATGAAAAGTGATGCCGTGGTCTTTCTTTTTAGTTCTTAAATTGTTCGTACATTTAAACAATACAAAAAGGCTGCCCTCGTGTAATGCGTAGATAAGACCGATCGTTACCTGTCAAAAATGCTTGTTTTGTTTTTCAACATTTACCGTGCCATTAATGTAAATCCTAAGATTTACCAACGAAATGGTGGTAAGAGTTCGAATCGCAAACCTTTTGGGACATTTACCATTAGGAATTGGTAGATCTTAGGTTTTACTGGAATATCTTAGGATTTAGCAATTTTTTAGCAATTCGAGCTTTTACAGTAACATATATACGCTATCGTTATTAAAGGATCAGGGAAACCAATGCGATCACACTCGATCAGTCGGCGATCAATGATAGATCAATGCATTTAAGTCTGATTGCCATCGCTGCACGCCGACTTTGACTGAACCTCAAGGCGTATTTCAATTATTTTCATATGAATACTATTATATTTTACATAGTAACATTTTAATCGAATGTGTAACCGCCCTAAACTACACTACCGACTTTGACTCAGAGGTCAAGTGTTAATAATAATAATAATTATAAGCTCGCCTCTAAGAGCGCTTCAAACACTCCACTGGCTCAAGCTTTATTAGAATTTCGCGAAATACGTATTAATAGGAGATCATTTAAGATTTAAATTAAAGACTTCAATTAATGACTTTCCTACTAATAATAATTTCGATATTAGATGTTCTTACAACTTATATTTAATTTTGTCTTTAGAAGAAAAAAAATAAAAAATAAAAAATATCCTTGGACATTTTACACTGCGCTTCTAGTCCCAAACTAAGCAAAGCTTGTACTATGGGTACTAGACTTTAGAAGGAAGAAATAAAGTCTAGTCTTAAAGAAAAACGTTTCAATATAAGGGCGCTTCCAATTTAGACGTTTCGTGCTGGATATTTGCTGCGGGCTTGCCGTGCGTTTGCAAGATTGCAGACTAACTATTGGTAATAATTATACATTTTATTCCGACGCAGTTGTCATAAATAATTTACCGCGTGCGATCTTGTAAACGCATGGCAAGCGCGCGACAAACGTCTGGCACGAAACGTCTCAATTCAAGCGTTCTTAAACAAGGTATTTGAAGAAGTCGAGAATTTCATTTACGAGTAATCTGTCTTCTTTAGTAGCGCCAATTATTTTTTAGTCTTCTAAAGATTATGCCCTTAGATTAATAAAGCCTAGAATGTAGGTATAGTAAGCGCAAGAAAAATGAGGCACTTCAAATTAGACCACTTAGCTTAGATTTCCCCATACATTCTGACAAGTGACAAAGTCAAAAACAAGAAAACGTACCTATCTATGTAAAGATGACATAATACGTTTTTGAATCACTTAGACGTGCTTTAGACGAAGCGCTTAAATATAAAGACTATCCATCTAGGTGTATTACCTATGCCCGTTTTCGCCATCAATCCCTAATTTTTAAGTGACTCCTATGACAACAAAATTACTGTTATTTATTACCATAGGGGTCACATAAAAAAAGGGATTGATGGAGAAAACGGGCGTTACTCTAAGATTGTTAAGAGGTACTTAAGAGTATACCGAGTACCTACTATAAAGTCTAGATTATATGACGACACATCCTCACCACTTAGCGCAATATTAATCTACACGTCTCCCAACACTTGAGTGCAAAGTTGCTTAGAACTTTCACGCGGGCAGCTTTAAAGTGCTTTCTTAGATAGGTCTGGCTTGTGTTAGAAAAGCTTAAGATTTTTTACTATTTATCTTAGAGCATACATTTTCATCGTAATTTGCAATGCCCTAGGGGGCTATGAAGGCTTTTAGAAATAAGACAGATTACTTTATAAGTTTAAATTAAAAGGTCGTTATGTTCGTTCGTTCGCTTCAGCCGAAAGACGTTCACTACTGGACAAAGGATTTCCACAAAGACTGGCCCTGCGACGCTCGCATCCAGGCACTTCCCGCGACCTTCACCAGATCGTCGGTCCACCTAGTGGGAGGCCTGCCCACGTGCGTTTTCTGACTCATGGTCGCCACTCAAGAACTTTCCTGCCCATGAAAATGAAATTAAAATGAAAATGAAAATGAAACATCTGTTTGATAACAAGGATGACAAAATGTATCACTGTCTTACTGAGTGCGAAATACTTAAGGCTCATTGGAGTGCTTGTGGCTTAGTAGCAACAACATAAATCGCGGTCTAGAATAGATGGGCTACAGACGATATTTATTGGAATTTAACAACAAGCATTTCCGTACTACTTCTTTTTACTTACACCCAATCTGAACTGCTGAACTGCATAGTGATGTATTGTTTTGAGCTGCTTCAGTAATGGTAAAACCTGCGCTATATGATATGCTTATTTTGCTTTTTATGCGCCTCAACGGCACTATGTTCTTCTCTTCCATTCTGGGACTGGGTTAAACTGGTAACTGGTTAAACTGGGACAAACGTTCAACGGTTGGAATGTGCAGTGCCTCTACCATGAGTTGCCATCGAAAACTTGTATTCGTATACTACAGTCGATAGAGTTTAAACGTGGATCGATGAAGTTTGCATTAAAATCATACCATGAGTTCAATTACCGTATACTTTACTCGCCAGCGATAATTCGATGGTTTTGTGATGTCATGTTGGTGAACATGTTAACGTATCCAACTTCACACTCTATGAATGGATGAATGAAAGAACGNAATCCAAAAAACTCTACTCTACACCAGATAATTGCGCGTACACTAAATCCTGGCTCCCTTCGTATGAAAATCTTATCGAGTTCATATCACATATCAAACCCTCCTTTTCTATTACTCAGTTACTCACAAACCACGGATACCATAAAGAATACCTCCACAGATTCAAGATTACTGACAATGACACATGTCCCTGTGATAATATAACCACCCAATCAATGTTGCATCTCGTTCAGGACTGCCCAAGATTTCAATCAACAAGACTTAGCCATAATATAGTTTGCCAAATTTACAACATCGACCCATTCAATTTCCAACAAATTATAACCAAGCAAGATTCCATAACAACATTTACCACCCACATTGAAAACATAGTTAGCAACCTAAAATCTTTCAACAATTAAAATCCTAAATCACGTAGGAGAGAGCAACGCGTAAACCGATAGCGCCGCGCTCTCTCTGAAATTAAAAATGCCCAAATTAAAAAAAAAAAAAAAAAAAAAAAATGTTTTCAGAATTGCAGAGATTATTGATGTTGCTCTTTTTTATTGGACTACGTAAATAATATTATATTGAGCCTACAGGTCTTTTTCTAATTAAAATTTTTATCTAATAATTTTATCTTGTTTTTGTCTGTGGGCTTGCACACAAGCGAGTTTTATTTTTCACAAAATGAGATTCGTTTTCTTTCAAACTTCAAACGTTAACTTTTCTTAGAGGGGTGATATTTCCAATAACACAGAAATCGTGTTATGTTTATTTATAGATGAAAATAATATTTCCAAATTATACCAATGGATTTCCATTCAAAATGTATGGCCCTTCTTCCCCCATTTGGAAATTTGTGAAATCTGTTGTCGATTGATGTCTACGTCCTAAATTAAATCAATTTTGGCCTATATTATTCATTTGTGAACTTCCTAGACACAAAAACTTGTTGTGCGTTTTTGACAGATTAGCCAAATAGTCGATCAATTAGCAGTTGGAGTTTATTTTATGCATACAAAATGCAGACAAAACATGTAGGCACTACTAACTTTTCCTAACAATTTGCTTATGTCAGTCTCTATGGAGGTAGAATCATAAACTATGTCCAAAAGTCTATGTAATTTCCTATGAAAGGAGTAGAGGCCACTGAAAAGCGTGGGACGTCCACCCACAAGATGAACAGACGACCTCATAAAGGAAGGCGCTGGATGCAGGCCGTTACCAACCGGTAAATATAGAAATCATTGGGGGAGGCCTAAGTTCAGAAGTGGACGTCAATGATGATTAATTAACCCTTACCTAACTACATACATACATAGCTCTGTTTCAACAAGTCCCTGGGCAGCCTTTGAGGGTACTTGGGCTTGGGAAGCACCCAGATAACGTTCACGAATATCTCCCCATGCATCACAACCGTGGCCTCCCAAACCTCAAGAATGTGTAGTAAATTATGTAATACCTACATAATAAATATTAATTAACCCTTACCTAACTACATAGCTCTGTTTCAACAAGTCCCTGGGCAGCCTTTGAGGGTACTTTGGCTTGGGAAGTACCCAGGTGACATTCACGAATATCTCCCCATGCATCACGACCGTGGTCGCCCACACCTCGGGAGCAGGGAGGCGCGGAGAGTGTGCGCAGGAGCACACGCCTGAGACGCACTCTGGAACAAATGGTAGAGTTAGTTCTATGATCTAATGACAGGGTAACAATTTGGTAGAGTTACTTCTGTGGCAGGGTAAGCCGACTCCGAGTAACGGGAATGAGTGAGGGCAGAAGAAAATGAAGAAGAAGTCCTGTGGTCTGATATTTCTTAGAAGAAATTTATAGTAAAATATTGTTACGAGAAGTTATGGTTAGGTTCAATGGGTAAAATATTTATAGAGACTGTAAATTTTTTCCAATAAGAGGCAACGTTGTGAGAAAACAATGTTTTACTTTTCTTTTAAACATGCAAAAAAAACAAATATTGAGAACAAATTGTACTCAAATTTCCTTTCCTACTTTGTTACCAGTATTATTTATTTACTACCCGACTGCTGAAACCTAGGATAGCCCAAAACCCAACCACTGAAACCTGCCAACCGCTCATAAAGGTGAGTAGATATTTCAGCATTCATTTGTAACAGAACACCAAGCTGTTACACACCCTTTCCAGAGAGGGTATGCCTATTAGCACGATGAAATGTTTTGTCACGTCACGTCAAGATTGTCGCGTGAATTTGCGTGACATCACTCCGATTACACGTGCAGGATAAAACAAACACGTTGGGGGAAATTTTAAACAAAACATTTGTGTTAAAGAAACCTTATCATTGTTTGTATAATCATGTGAATACAAGTTTGTTTCCTTGTTTTTTTTATGATAAATAATAAATTGTAATCAACTTCATAAAAAAATCCCAAACACGGTACATTATGGACCTCTCTCATTTTTTCAATCTCGTTATATTAAGTTGTTACTAGTGGGTCAAAGTTATAAGTGTCGTTTCGTTGCTACTCGTGACTTTAAGCAACAAATAGCCTATTTGACACTTTATTCGGAGATTGTGAACGAGGCCCTAAAATTGGTGTTTAAACTGATCTTTTAACAAAATTGTTGTGTAGATATCTCTACCGACAAAATAATATAACAATAGTTAAATAATACAGAAGTTCACAGGTTTGCTAGCAAAATAATACGTTGAAAAGTGTGGTTAGCAAAACCGACTCGACGAGGTAGTTCTTGATTTTACCAACTTTGTTGTTGAGAACAAGAAAAAGATATTCTTACAACTTTTATTGACTCAGCCTACCTAGACGTCTAACTCGTACCCTAAGTTTCTGGAGAACTTGGACCGCGGTTTCGTTGCTATGAAACTCCATTTCGAAATTGGAATCCATTATTAATTTTAACGAGATGTAGGCCCTGCAGGATTTGAAATTCATTCATACGCAGCGTGAAAAAGTTCATGACACAAGAGGGCCAAAAAGCAACCTTAAACCTTATTCCAATTGTATCAAAGACGTTACTTTGGGTGTCACGAACTATTTGACGCTGACTGTATATAGATAACTAGTGGCCGCCCGCGACTTCGTACGCGTGGATGCCGTTTTACCCCCTTAGGGGTGGAGTTTCGTAAAATCCTTTCTTAGCGAATGCCTACGTAATAACATCTGCATGCCAAATTCCGTCCAGTGGTTTGGGCTGTGCGTTGATATATCACTATGTCAGTCAGTCAGTCAGTCAGTCACCTTTGAGTTGATTTTAGAAACAATACTAACACCACCTAACACGTCAAAAATATTAGCTCTACCAGCACTTCGGAAGAAGCTACAGCTACTAAAGAACTACTATAAAAGCAAAGTCTGCTCAAATCATTACTAGAACAGGACTATTCCCATTTTCCTCGCCCCTTCTCATCACTGCAACTCCTGTGTAGTCAGGATCTATGTACAGTTCGACAGTCAACAAAAACTGACTTTAGAAGACTAGATTAGACTCTACGAAGTGCACCGGGGCAACTAGTAACTGGTTTATTGAGGTACAAATAAACAGTAAACATTTCAATCTGAATTAACCTTTCCAAACACATCCCTGGCACAAATACTTAACATCGAGGCCAGTGTTATGTATTCTTTGGCTCAATTTCCAGATATAATTACGTATCCCATGACGTCCGGCTACACAAACGGTTCAAAACAAAAGCAACAACCCACAAGATTACACGATGTTTGTTTAAGCTCCCGGCGACGCATGCGCATGGAGGTAAACACTGATTAGCCTTATGTACATTGTAATAAGGATCAAATTGGAGCAGGTTTTGGAAAAGTTAAAATAGATATTAGGAAACAATAACTTTCTTTGTACGCGAAAGATCCATGTTTGGAGTTTCAGAATCATCAACATTATCATTCCAGTCAAAGGTAATCAAATCAAGATCTCCCGCTTCTTTGGTCCAGCTATTAAGATCGTCAGTCCATCGACTGACTATTGCTAAAAATAATATTAGGCTCCTGTCAAGGGTCAAAGACTCCCCACTACGTAGACCGACGATCTGGTGAAGGTGCCAGGATGCGGGCGGCGCAGGACCGGTTGTTGTGGAAATCCTTCACACACTTGACCATCACCATCAAAAATAAACTTTTATAAATTCTTTGCTTTTATTTCTAAAAACCTAATAGTCATTGTCAGTACCTTTACAATTCTAAGCGAAGTCTAGATAATTCTAAGCCAATTACCACCAAAATTATGTCAAAGAAAATAAATGTTAATTATCTCGAAGAGGTCTCTAACTAATGCAAATTGTGAAATGGACAAGCTTAATTTGACAAAGTATTTTTAACACTAAAATAAATAAGTCTACTCTTAAAAGTTTTGAGGCGATGTGTCTGGCACAGGGATTAACTTAAAGTGCCCTCTATAGTACTAATTCATATTGATTTTTAGAAAGATCACAGTATAATTAGACTTTATTTTACTTTATCACAGGTTTTCCGTAACATAGCAGTCAAATAAACACCCTTTAAAATGTTCATGTCAAAATATCATCCGTCTCATTTTTGCAAAGGTGAGAAGTCGATAAACTCCTTCATTCTTCTGATTAAATCATGAAAAATCTTCAGTAGTTCTTCTTCAAATTCTTTGAAGTTTAAGCTGAAATATAGGCTATACAAGAGTTGCAGTAGTAAGAACAAGACTTGGCAATATTTCTATTGTTAAACACTTCCCCCCATACTAATAAAAAGTTACACAGTTGTTGAACACTGTTTTAAAATGGCATTTCCATAATAAACGTCACTTTAAAACACTATTCAACGAGCGTGTAAGTTTTATTAGTAAGGGTATTTAGTTGCACTAGAATTTCATGAATGTACTTAAGTAGTTTGAAAAACAACATCCTATTAATCGTTGTACACGATGATAGGTCAGACGCATTTAGACTGTATACAATCGGTTAGCGCCTGCTCTCTGCACAGCGTTGAGTGTTGTGTTCGGTCTAATGAATGTTTGGAGATAAAATGATTAGTTACTGATGGATAATTGATCAAACTGTTGTTTAATTTATTAAACTTGTCTGTGCTAAGACAGGCTAGTACGTAATACCTATAATCTTAATAAGTAAGTACGCAATAAATGTGTTTCCATACACTAAGGCCCAGAACAGACGGTGAAACGCAACTGCATCTGCTAGTTACTTTTGAGTTGCATCTAAGTTTCTGCCATAGCGTCCGTTGAGAGACCACACATGACGCGATCAGTTTGAAACTTTCAGTTTCAGTTTCATTCATAAGAATCATCAGAAAGTTGCAGTTTCGTAGCAGTTGCGTTTCACCGTCTGTTCTGGGCCTAAGGCTCGGTTGCACCATCTTACTTTAACTTTGACAAACGTCAAAAATCTGTCAAACTCCATACAAAAAACACCGGTTATCATCATAGTTACGGCCAAAGGTGGTGCAATTCAGCCTGAATATGGCATATTTGAATCAGTAGAGTTCAAAATAAAGTAATCTACACACCTATATTTCAAAGAGGTAGAGAACTATGTAAGTTTGTGAGTTTGATTGTAGAAATATTCTCTGAAAATGATTTTGAAAATAATTATATCACCAATTAGAACGCTACATTATTCCTGTGTGACATATGAGTATAATTAATAATATTGACCTTTGTGTGACTGGTCGAAGTTAACGCGAGCAAAACCACAGGCAAAAGCTTTGCAAGAACGGTAGACAGAGCCGATTTTTTATTTAGGTCGTTTGACAGCAAGTTACTTAACTTTCAACCTGAGATAGACTTTTTGATTAATAATGTAAGTTCTGACTAGCTTGACCCCTCGTCTCTACCCAAAGTCCTACAACTCACAGGTCGTGATTGACTGGAAAGTAATCATGGATACAAAAGCTCCTGAAAAACGATTTTCACGCAGAAAACTTGCGGTTTCAGCTAGTAAATAATAAATACACGTAACTTAGGAAATATTAGATTAGAGAATAAAGGTCTTCTAAGGTGACTTCGAATGTTGAAGGAGACACATAAATGTACTTAACGGTCGTCGGCCCACGGATACGCCCACATAGAATTTTGCCGGAACATCTTACTAATATTATAAATGCGAAAGTTTGTATAGATGTCTGGATTGGGGAAAACTACTGAACGGATTTTGATGAAACTTTACAGTATTATTGGTTATAACCCAGAATAACATACAGGCTATAAATTATGGAGATCTGTGATAAACTAAATTTGTAAAGAAACTTCTTAATGTTTTGAGAAAAGCGAGTATGTTTGTAATTGTAGCTGTTGTTGGTTTTTGGGCCGAATATTTTCTTTGTATAATAAGTGCCTATTTATTAAATAAAATAATGTTTTAGTATTCAGTATGTTTGTCTTTCGGGTACAGTATAAGCTTTGTTAAGCTTGGAATACACGGTAAAGTAAAGTATCCTATAATTATTTATTTATTTAACCAAGTTCGTCTTTCAGATCCTTTTCCAGTATAACGTGGAAGTCTGGATTTTTTTTAGCCACAACGAGGAAGCTCTTGGCCTGTACCTCACCTGATGGTAAGTGACGATCAGGCCAAAGGTGGAAAGCGAGTTTTAATGAATTAATTATTATTAATTAAGCGAGAATTAATGTGTTAATATCTACCTATTAGATACTGTGTTGTTACTTTGTCGGATTGATGATAATATTAATAAAATATTGAATGAATGGAACGTATGGAATCTTAATATCATTATCTGAAAAAGATAAGGTAACATATCTACAAAAACATATCCAATAAACATTATCTTCCCTTTCTCGATTGGATTGCTGCACCAATACGATTGATGTAATTTCGTTTTCCAATTTTCACACGGATCTGAAGATTTGTACGCAAATTGGAATTCAAATGCTTCCAGCATACGTCTCAAGATTTCGACTGATACAAAATGACTACCCATCTTAAAAACGGTTGTTTTCGATGAATGAGTGCTTGTTTTTACCCTTTTCGAAGGAATGCGTATATTATAAATGCGTCGGTTTTTGAGGATTCTTGACAATTGTCAATATCTTATTTAAAATTTCCTTTTTTTGCGTTTAGGCATCGTTGTTCTGTTTTCTTCTTACTCCTTGTATACAAATTTCTCTTGATTAATTAATTTATTGCAAGTTCTATACAAGACAGCTACGGCAGTATAGTATACCCTTGCAGATACTTACTCTTCACTGCCTGGGATTCTTTGGTGTCTCAAGGTGGATCGACATTCGACAACCTCATAAAGGTAGAAGGAAGGCACTGGATGCAGGCCGCTAACAACCGGACGATGTGGAAATCATTGGGGGAGGCCTATTCAGCAATGGACGTCTTGTAGCTAAAATGATGAAGATGATGATGATGATGATGATGATTCCTTGGCGTCCAAACTGTAAATCCTATAAATGAGTTTCAGTGGTGGGAATATGAAGAATGGAAATTGGCGGGATTAGTCCTACCGTTTAATGATATTAAAATCTCTACTCACCATCCAACTGTATGAGCTTCTCGGCTTGCACTCGGCCGTCCCACGGGTGGGCTGTAAGAACCACGGCGTAGGAGCATCCAGGACGCACCGCGCACGACTCTGCTACGGGGTTCGCATATGCGGGGATCAAACACCATTGGACGTCCTGTGGGAAGAACATCGAAATTAGTCACACCATTGGACGTCCTGTAGAAAGAACATGGAATTCAGGGTAAATTCTTCAACCATAAATCCAGTGTGAGTCACGTTAAATTAATCTGAATAGAAATTTAATAATCTTTTTATACACCAGATATTGTATGTGACTTGCTATGATTTCGCATGCTATTTTGAACGCCAAGAGTTGAAAGTTAATAAATTTTGATTTCTAAAATTGTCGGCGGATGCTATGTTTAGCAGACATACGCAATCATTTTTCATCCGTATCAGTTGATTTATTTCTGATTTTCATAAATAGATCGTGTAGGATTATAAAATTACATCCAGATTAATTATAGATACAACAGAGATACACGTAAATCTACCCCATAAATGCCCTCAGGGCATAATTTCTATTCGGTGATGGCGCTAAATTGTAATTTAGTACCAATCAAATTAATAGTATACATACAAGGTAACATCATTATTCTGAACAAGTTCTACTATTGGATTCAATAGTGACAGCGAGAAAAAAAACTGCAGATCCATATTTTGAATCAGTCGCAACTTTTTGGAAGAACAGATTTTTTCTTGCTGAAGCCATAGCTAACCACGTGGCTAATAAGCTGTTTTAACTCATCTAAGACATTAAAAAGTAATGGCGCAAGTACACTATACGGGAAATTGATCGAGACGTATAGTGTAAAAAAAACACGAACTTCGGTTAGTTTCGCCGTGTGTCGCCTGCTTTGGTGTGCGGGCTAGTCGCGATTCGTCTCGGTCAATTTCTCGCAGTACATCCGCCATAAGAAATAAGGAAAATCTGTATTAAATTACATACTTACCCCAGGAATGTTGTATTCATAGCACATAAGTGGCGTCTTGCAGTCTGACGTGTCTGTGACGCTGTGGACTTCCAAGGAGTAATCTCTCGCTGGATACTCTATGGACAAAGTATTTTTAAAATTAGTTCCAGCTATACATGGTTACTTTTAAAACAGTTCCTGAATTCATCATCATCATCATAATTGCACCCATAGAACGTCCACTGCTGAACATAGGCCTCCCCCAATGCTTTCCATGTTGATCGATTGGTAGCGGCCTGCGTCCAGCGCTTCCCTGCTACTATTATGATGTTATCGGTCCACGGGTGGACGTCACACGCTGCGTTTTCCGGTACGTGGCCTCCACTCCAGAACCTTGCTGACCCATCGACCGTCAGTTCTGCGTGCTACGTGCCCTTCCCATTGCCACTACAGCTTGATATCCGTCAGGCTACACTGGCTACTTATGTGATTGTAATAGTATTATCAATCCGTATTATTATCACTAAAATTACACCCAGTGGGATTTAAATCAAAACTTATACGACCATTGCCGGAAAAACCCCTGTATTTACCTATTATAACTCAGTGTTAGAAGACTTTCCCCTAGGACCAAATATTAGATCGAATGTCGATGATACAGACATTGTAATGACACGTGGTAATTGACGGTGTTTCTAAATGGCCTTAAAATATTAGTTGTTGTGGCATTTGTCAGCAGCTTACCTAATACGTAGGGTTTGGCTGAAGGCTTGATCGAGTAACTATTGTCGATATTAACACAGACATTTTTGCCGCAAATTAGCATATTGCAACTAAATATGAAGCCGCCATATTTAACACGTGTCATCATTGGCACACATGTAATGGTTTTACGAGTACATCTATAGAGAGAAATGACACAGCGTAGAGCCACCCGGACCTCGCCAACAGTCAGGAGTCCCCTAAATCTGATACCAGACTATAAAAGCTTTAGACTAGATAATGCCTAAACAATAACTTATTTAAGCAATAGTCCATTCACTGTTTATATAGCGCGTCAGCAGTCGAGAAATTTTACATATTTAGCTTTATACAAGTACTCGTAGGTACCCTTCTTATTGGACTTCAAATGAACTTGTTCAATTATAATAAAACGCTCAATTCGTGAAGGACCAATTAATTTTCAATACAACCACAATTTCATCCCATCGAATGAACTAAAGGCATAAAATGACAATGGGCCGTTATTTCGATAGCGTAGACGTTCAGCAATTCTTAAGTGGTTCTTTCCATTATATTTCAGTTTACTAGCTCAGCTATTTTCCATCTCCACAGTCATGTTACAAACCTTTATAATGCTGTGAAATTATAAGGCAATGATCAGAAAAGAAGCCTAAATGGCATTACGACGGGGATCGTAATAAGTACCTATTCATAATCCAACCTTCAAAATCTCATAAAAAGCTCATACCGCAGTAACAAAAGACGTTAGAACGCTAACTTATATTTTATGTTAGAGCTTAACGCTTGATGTAGCATACAAATGAGCTCAGTAAGTTATAAATAAAAAATAGCTGTAAGAAATCAAGAGTTCTCCCTACAAACTTGTATTTAATTTTCTCTATTTCAGTAACTTTAAGTACCTACCTACTTTAAGTCTTTTGTAGCTTACGGGTTATTGTGTGTTCTTGAAGGCGACCTTTGTCCATCAATAACCCAACCCCGGTTACCTACGTGAGTGCGACAAACGTTACATCGAATTTTGTTTCTTCGAAAACCTTTCTGCGAAGTTACTATACTGCGACGCCTTGTTATATCGATGCCTTGTTACTGCGATGTAACGTTACATCGAAAAACTTTACTGCGAACGATTTTACTGCGAAGCCTTCTTTAATTGACTTAACAGATAGATAAAAAAAAATACATACATCAAAAGAATACCTACCTAATATAATGCATTATGTATTTATTTATTTAAAACATACATGCACTATGCNGGGGGCACTGCCGTGCCCCCAGATATAAGATAATGGTGCGTATATTTTTCACTATAGGAATTATTTAGTAATCCAAGAAATAATATTATAGTCATTTTCTTCAAGCATACCGTTCGCGCTAAGTTTCCCGGTCCGTGGAATGCGCGTGGGGTCCCCCAACCACCATTAAACGCAATTAGTTAGTGGTTAACGCAATTAATGTGTCTTATTTTACGCAAATACACAATATTTATCAATATTAATAAATAAAAAATATTTTCAATATAGTTTACTATAGTTATAGACACTTCTTGTCGAGTGACGTCATATCGCCAGCGGCAAACTTATCGCGCACGGATAGTAAAGTGATGGACTAACCATTCGCGTTAACAACATTACTACAAAAAGAAATAGCAAAAAGCAGAGATGAAATGTAGAGAGTACATTTAAAAAGAAAACTATATCCCGCCGCTTCCTGTGTAGACGCCGGCTTACCCACATCCAGCTTCTTGTATTTTTTGTCTTTTCCTGTGGTAATCCCATTTTCTTGTATTGCCGTATCTTGTGTTATGTAATTGAGTTGCCAACGACAATGTCTCTATCCGGTTCTTATTGCGTTCGCTGTGATTGAGGGGAGTAAAGAATTTCTTTGAAGTGGAACACTTTAAAAGTTTACTGCTGTAATGAAGTTTGGTTGTTTTCAAAGTAGCAGTATGTTCTTTTTTGTTGTTGAGATTGACAGAAAATGTAGGACGAGTTGCACTACCTAACTTTGACCGTAACTTTAACGATAATCGATGTCTTTTATATGGATTTTGCCAGATTTATGACGTTTGTCAAAGTTAAAATAAGATGGTGCAACTCAGCCTTAGAGGACCATAATTTAGTCTTTCCATTTTTCTTCGATTAGATTGTACAGGTACAAATAGAGCTAAGGTATCAATGGAAACATTTAATATTTGACTAGTTTATGACGTCATGAAGACGTGACCCTTCTATTGCATAATTTTAAAACAATTTTAAAGTTTTCACGAAATGATTTTATAAACGCATTCGAAGTTCGAACTATTTGTGATAGAGCTTTGAATATTCAACCGTTTTTTTCTTACTGTCGTCTATTGCTGAAAAACTGAAGCTTTCATACAAAACAACACAAATAAAGACTATCCTAATTGGAGCTTAATTAGCTTAATAAATAGCATCTGAAACCTGAAACTAATTACTAGTGAAACGTCGTGAAGCTCAACGACACTTGAAACTCCCGCGTTCAAATATGAGGCGAGAATGAAGTTTGACACAAGTTCGCCTCCGAAATGTGCAGTCTGAGTTTGGAACATGTTGAGTTAATAGGTAAGGCGCATTACTTATTACGATAATCCGTTAACAGTACACACTATAAATAAGCCGATTCAAGTTGAAGTAGAAAGTAATTTTATAGGGCTTACGGTTTTAAAGTGTTTATTTCGCATGTGGTGGACGACGACCATGTAAGTGTTTGCATATAGGACACCCAAAACTCAAGAGTAAATTCGCACTGTAAGGATTACAGTAAGAGCCTTTTCAGTAAGAGTGAATAGGCACTTACAGGGCAGGTATGTACCTTCTCGGACTGCATCTCACTTAACATCAGGTGCGATTGCGGTCAAATACCTGCCTTTTTCTGCATGAAAAAAAATGTATCTGCTGTTGTTTTTTTATTTATTATTTATGTTTCATATTTCACGTCCGCTTGAAAGCTTTACTAAATAAAATTGTACATTTTATACTAACAATCATTATGTAATGTTTTCGACTGTAGTTTACTTTGTAACAGATGTCAAAGCCAGAGATAATCTAGCGGGAATGAAATGTGAGGGTCTCGGGCAGTTAACTTTAGCAACATAGTAACTTACGAGTAGCTTTGAAACATTGATAGAGCTACGAGTAACTACAGACAACAGCACTTCAAGTTAAACATGGTTAGCTCTTATGTCCTGAGTAATAGACACGATTTTGCTACAAAAATGTATTGTCTGGTGAGCAGTGTCTGCACTTTAAACGTTTTCAGTAAAGTATGGTATAATAAAGATGATTATTTGATATATTCGCGTACCGTAACCTGGAAACTGTTAAATGAAAATACAAGATAAAGTATAAAATTCAATGGTTGAAACGTGTTCAGAGCAATGGATTTAATGAACTGGAAAGAAGCATCGGGGAAGAGTATTAAAAAAGGAAAAAGAAACATTGTTTCAATTACTGTTTTATGCAGCAGATATAATATTGTATGTACTCGTATACTCGGACATGAATAAGTAAATTAAAGTTTCTTATGAGACCATTGGGATAACAATTTATTAATCTCAACAACAAAATCCCGGATTATTCTTAAAATCAAAGACATTTGTGAATACCAAGAGTACAAGATTTTAATAGAAATAAGGTATTTTACAAGTATACCAAATCAGTCTTTCTGATGACCATTCATAGTAAGTTAAGAAAGAATTTGTGATGCATGTCAAATATGATGACACGTTAACCTGATTTACTAGGGTCAGGGCGCGAGATGCTGCCCCCTAATAGGGGGCAGGGGGTTACTCCCAGCAGTAATCTAATAGCATCATCTTATCAACACTTAGCACGTTGGATGTGCCAGCTAGAAGCCTAGAAATTTGACTAGAATCGACATCATTTCCAGTTAAAGAAATTGTACAAAAATTTTTCAATGTATCATTTACAATTTTTCAACTTTTTAGTACCTAATTACTTAGATATCTTCAGATTTACTGTTTTACTTAATCACCATCATGACTACTTCAGGAGCACGAGCACTTCAGTACCTAAGGGAGATTGTTCAACTTATAGGTACCTTATTATATGCAAAGACAAAGATCTTTCCTTTTATCGACTTCATAAATAAAGCAACGAAGAAATCACTCCCTTTCTTCCTTCAGTTGGACATCTGCTAAGTGAATTGAATGTTTTATTGTTGCACTCTTGTATCATTCATGAGAATGAAGTTGAAAAGATCATCCGAGTTCTGAGTTTCGCTAGTATTTTTGCTTTATTTTTTTTGGTCTCTGAGTTTGATCCTCAAGAAATAATAAATAAGCCTTAAATTGATTTGTGTATCATTTCCAGTGTGACTAAGATATTGTAGATTAGAATCAACCTGATTGTGCGA